AATTATTGCATCACTTAGAAGTTATCTGCCAACCACAAATCCTCTCTGCTGAGACTCCAAAACAGCAAAAAGATGATTTTTTTTGATTGCATAATGTCATATCACGTAAATCTCTGAATCTAGGTGTTGTGTTGATTTGAGTGCATACAAAATTGGAAGTTTTGAAGCAGATACACAAGTGAGAGCAAAAACCTAGGAGCGTTACTTATCACACCTGTAAGTATATAGACAATTTACCATCTGCAAGCAAATATCCATTTCTAAACAGTCATTGAAACTGAGAAATCATCCGTACCTGATATGCCTTTGCCTGATGAGCACTCTGGCATGGTGGATTGACTTAGCCATACCTGCCTTAAACACTAAAGTTTGCAGGCGGCGCTCAAGGAAATTCTCTACTGTGAGGGCCAAGACATAATCGAGCTTATTCTGGCTCTCATCCAGCAGCCCATACCTGTTCATCCTCCTCAGAAGGGCTTCACCCTCAAAAATACGGCGAGGGTCCTTCTCGTCAAGAGTCAGAAGATTTCTTGCAGCATTTCTGATGCGGCTCAGTGCATACTGAACCCTCCAGAGTTCCCTCTTGCACCTAAGTCCATACTCTCCAACAAGCTTCAACTCAGCATCTAGTCGCTCCTTCTCATATGGACGACGGGGCTTCTTAAAAGTCTTCCCATCTGTAACCAATCATGTATCTATCAGTTCAGTAAGCAATTTAACCATTAATATAGCTAACCTATCGAGTAGGTAACCTTTTTGTTATTTCAATGAACAATATAATGTAGTATTTGAAGTCCTATATTTCATGGAACATGATATCAAGGCATTAATCTCGTTTCAATCAGTGTAAGTTTGCAAACTTCAGATTTAAACTTGGTGAGCAAATGAGTTAATTATATTATACAAGTACAGGGACTTAAAATTTAGGTATTTTACTATATAGACGATGTAAAATTGGCAAATGAGTGAGAAAATGAGTTAATTATCTCATACGAGTACAGGGACCTAAAATTTAGGTATTTCACTGTATATATGATAGAAAAATTGGCAAGTATATCAACAATATGCTCTCACAAACTTTTCCTTCGAATTGGGTAAGTGAATAAGTTAATTATCTCATACAAGTTTCCTGAATACATAGTAGATAATCGAACAAAGATTTTCTAATTTTTGCAGCATATGCTATATCCTCATTTCACAAAGCATCAGTTTTAGTTAAACAAAATCAAAACTATTCTTAATAAATTTATAAAAAGAAATACATTTAATTATAATGAAAACTTCAAGATCAATGAGTCCATTCTACATACATTCAACTTGTAAAACAGAAATCAGGAAAAAAAAAGTCAGGATCAATAGCATCACCAGATATCGAAAAGCTCAAAACGCGAGTTGAAGCAAAAGGCGTCGAAGATCAACTAGATAATAAACATCAAAACTCACACTTCCATTCATATATAACAGACATATGCGTATAGCTGTACGTACAGCTGAATGACTAGAAATGCTTACAGTTGCGGTAAAAAGACACGTGCACCATTGTTGTTGGCCCCCACTGTTTCGATCTTCAATCCGGTTATCCCTTCCTGCTGAAGGCAACAAATTAGGGTTTCAACTTTCAAGCAAGAGGCTTGTAAGAACTGTTTATATAGTAGTTGTTTCAGGCCAAAACCCTAATGGGCCTTCATGTTCGGTCTAAAGAGATTGGATTAAGATTTGGGTCCATTTTTCTTGCTAAGACATAACCGTATCTCGCTCCCAACCATTAGAATTGAAGATTTCAATCCCCAACCTTTAAAAGTGAGTGACTCCTCAATCTATTCAATTAGAGTAATGTTATT